TCAATGGGCAAGGAGTTTGTAGGGGAAGAGTTGACATAGAAGTTGTCTTAAGTGTCATCTACCTGCCTTTCAGATGAGCTGACAAAACCCTGAATAAAATCTCTGCATATCATATGGAAAACTGGGTTCGTCTTAGCATTTGTCTTTAATCTTGTTACTTTACCCAGCTTTTGGCACACACACATAAGATCAAGAATCAAAATGCAATGTGGGGTAATCATTGGTCAATCAGTGGAAAGCTTGAATGTAAGGTCACATTGCATATTTACAAACTGTTCAGAAATTGTCAGTGGTTGTGCTACCATGAAGTCACAAGTCATTGTGACCGAGTATTTGCGCTGCTGGCCTTGTTCAACTACTGATCATATGAGATCATGTAATCTCTCCCAGAATCTAAAACTAAGATTCCCTCAATATAATTGCAGAATAAACCACAGGTTTGTTCCGTGGGTATTGAAAAAGTGTACATATGCCTGAGAAGCTGTCAGCAACAGGGATTACTCTAAATATTACATTCTTTGTGCAGGTGTTGAAACAGCATTATTCTTGTCCTATTTCTGGTTTAATTTTGCTATGCACTCTATCTCTCAGAATTTGGATGATAAATTTTGTTCTGCAAGTCATTAGGATGATTGTGCAATGGATATTGCATGACAAAGAATATAATCTTCACAGCAGTGCAGTAACAAAACATTTCCCTCAAAGATCAACTGAAGAGAAAGAGGTTGTAGAACTGCTTATTGTTCTCTAAATAAAAAGAAAGAAATGTAGTATGGGGGTGGGGACAGAAATTTCTTGTTAGGCATTTTGTTAATTTATCTTTTTTCTTTGTTTAAAGAAGTTCTGCAAGTAACCAAGAAGTCTGGAGCCCAAAACACGTTGAAGGAAATGAAAGAAAGTAAGTATAACTCTATTCTCTCTTTCCTGTTAAATAATTGTATATATTTATTTGTATTTCAGATGTGTTGAATAATTCTAGCTTTCATTATTATGACAATATTATTTTATCCAAATGATCTTTCAAAGCTATGAAATAAAAATAAAAAATCATTAAAATTGTAATTCCACACACAGAATTATTATTATATCAAGTTGCAATTGGTTTGTCATACGTATATACATAGCCATGTTTTTATATTTATTTATTTTTTATTGAAACATGATCGGGATTAATATTGCACAAGGCAAGATGGGTCCTGCAAGGTTTTACAAGGCCAGCTGATTTTCCTGATGCCCAAATCTAACATTTACAGTAGTTTAAGGACACCAATTGTTTTTATCAAGACACCGTCTTTTAGAAATGTTGTCATTAAAGACCTGAGAGCCCATCTAGCCTATATATATATATATATATATATATATATATATATATATATATATATATATATATATACTATTCAAATGAAGACTTGAACACACAGAAAAAGAAAACGGATTTAAATAAAGATGTCATTATACACTGAAGGAAACCCTTATCAAAGGGTGGACATTGACAAATAGAACAAAATAATCTAGGCACAATTGCAGAAATAGCGAATGAGGAGGGGAAAGTGGAACATGATTAAAATAAATTTTAATTGTAAATAAATTGACAATTAAAAGCAGATAATAAAAGGTTCCAAAAAGAGTATAAAATAGAAAATATTTTAATCATATTTCTCTGAACAAACACAAGGAATGAATAAAATAATCCTCCTGTTTACATAGACTAGGCTGATGAATTTTGATGTACACAGCCTCAAGAACTCGAAGGTGATGGACAGTGAGCTCTAAGTAAAATAGAGAAAAATGTGTCATGCACATCATCTCTTCAAAGTTTTAAAACTTTAAAATAAGTTACTTTTTTAATCTTTATTTCACTAAATATTTTTATTTATATATTTGTGTGGGACCTACTTCAATATAGTAATTTTTTTAACTTTTTTTTTTTAAAAAAAAAACAATCTAGAAGAAATGTTTTTCGTTAGTAGTTTGTTTTTTTTTTTTTTACTTTCTTTCAGTTTATTCTTTTTTATAGTATTTTAAATTTTATTGGTTTTTTCAGAAAGCATTTTCAAACATAAGGCTATAACACTATCGTAACTGAAAGTCAATATAATATTAGATAATTGCTGAAAATGTTAATTTTAAAAAATTACTAGGTGTTACATTCCGGGCTAAGGAAATAAATAATTAACACCAGGTGAATAATAGAAGAAAGGTTTATTGTACACAACCAGTACAATATGAAATACGATACAGTTATACACACAAGTCAATCTAGTAGTGAGTGCCACTAATTGGAAGGTCGGATGTGCTTGTGTCTTCTTTCTCTCACTCTTTCCCGAGTTCCTCATAGACAGTTGACTTTATAGGTACTTACTACCTATAGTGTAATCATTCATGGGTGTGACTGGTTATTCCATTACATCACTAGGTAGTTAAAAACAAAAAAAAATGTATTCACTTAGATTTTGTAAATTTGTCAGTTGTGGCCATCCATACTTAGTTGTCAACATCTTAGCCTGTCAATTACATCAATCAACACATCAATAAAACAGGAGCCGTGCTTAAGAAATGCTTGTATACTACGTTTTTTAATGCTATAAGCAAGTAATATTTGTTTCAAATCAGATTAATTTAAAATTAAATCTGCTAATTTTTCTCAAATAACATGTCACAAATATGTATTTTATTTTTGGAAGATTTTTTAAAACCAATAATTAAATTTTGTTTACAAATATCTTAAAATCTAGAGAATGGCTTCTTGTAATGGATTTTATGAAAGTGAGCAAAAAAGAATTAATATTCCAATCTATATAATTTCTATTTGAAGTGCACAAGAGTATTTTGCTTCCTGGAAATAGTAAATTTAATCATTTAGCTTTTAATTAAAGCTAAAATGAAATCTTCAAGAGAGAAAACTTACCTGGCTTATATATATATATATATATATATATATAATCTTACTTATTATAAAACGCAGATTGTGTGTGTGTGTCTGTACGTTTATATATTGGATCGGATTTCCTACATTTTTCAACCGATTTCAACAAAACTTCACAGGACTGCGTAAAATTACCTTGGGGTGATTCTGACAGTGCCAAAAATTGGAAAGACAATTGTTTTTGCACAAAATCAATTTGAAAACACGATAAAACATGATTCAGTCGCCAGAATGAAAGGGAGACAACTCATATCGAGTTATACTTATTATAAAACCCAGGTTGTTTGTGTGTGTGTTTGTTTATATATGGGATCGGATTTCCTACATTTTTCAACCGATTTCAACAAAACTTCACTTTTTTTTGGCAGGTAGTGTTTCTTATTGTCTTGCACACTTTTTTCTTTATTTTTACATTCAGAATGCTTTAAAAATTCTATTTACAAGACAATTGTTTAAAACAAAATTCTATTCAATCGGTAGACTCATAACGATTGAAAACAATGTTTTTGTTTGGGTTTGACCAATTCGTAAAAAAAATCAAAAAAACTAATTAAGACATGCGTGTCCATCAACTTTAAACAATAATCTTTGTCAATTTTATTTTTTCAGTCTTTATGATGGTCGATACTTGATCTATCTCTTACTGTTACATCCCTGGGCAGCGCTGGGCTCTACTGCTAGTATATATATATATATATATATATATATATATATATATATATATATATATATATATATATATATGGGGTATCAAAAAAATTCTTTGGGGGCAGTTTTCTCACACACCAAAAGAAGGGCAAAAGATAAGCCCATATAAGCATATGTCTGCAAATCCTTCGTTTTTGAGTTTTATTAGTCAAGCCTACAAGCAAATCTCTGTTTTCCTTGATCCCTATTTTGTGGTACCATGGGTCCTGACATAGTAACACAACAATAAACAGCAGCAAATATTGGATGATTCTGCTTCCTTCAGTCTGGAGATGCAATCTGATAGAGCTGTACAATCTAGTGTCTATTACCATTCATGTGGCCATATGTAAAAATCATATCTCTCTACTCACAGCATGAATATCCTGCCATTGCTGAAAAAACACTCATGTAAAAAACACTGAATGCATGTAGTTGTTAACAAACTCACGACTACACGCATTAACCATTGAAGACAGACTATCCACAAATGTACACAAATGACAAATGTAACCTATTGCAACACAGCGCCATCTACCATAAATTTTCTTTAAATAAGTCAAAAATGAAAGATTTTCAGACATGTTTATATGGACTTTTGTTCTTGTTTCGGTGTGAGGACAAAACAAAGTCTTAAAAGTATTTTTGATAAACCTTGTATATACTTCAGTTGTGATCATAGACCCCACAATTTTGCATTGCAGTTATGAACACCATAATCTTTTCAAGGGTTATATAGTACATGCCTTTCCAGGACTACATATTAGTGTTGAATTCAGAGTTGTCTTCTCATAGACTGGCTGCCAACCATCTCTAGAAAGCTTTGTCTGTTCTGCTAGTTAACCCCATAGCCTAGTTTAGTAAAAATCTTTGTACCGAAGTGGGATTTATTATTGTTTTTTTTTTTTTTTTTTACATCTTACCAACCCTTTGTGAGTCATTTAAAGCCGGAACCTATTTTGGATGGTAGGTAGTTGTTTACATTACCTGGTGTTACCAATCAGTTCCCCATTTAAGTACTGACCAGGCACAACACTGCTTAACTTTGGTAATCGAACAAAAACCAGTGTTTTCAGTGTGATTTAACCATAATCACCTGAGCAGCTGAGAAAATCATGAAAAGACAAAATTACTGAAGTTTATGGTCACATTACATTAAAAAAACTGGTTCCTGTATGATCACTGAAGTTAAGCAATGTCAAATCTGATCAGTACCTAGATGGGTGACTGCTTGGGAATACCAGGTGCTGCAAGCTTGGGTGTGCTGGTGGTGAAATGGTTAATTGCTTGGAATTGTTAATTGGAGAGCCAAGTTCCAATTCCAGTGGGGTTTGTTATATTCACTTAGACACAAATACCCTTGGGAAAGACATGAATCTACCTCTGTTCCCCACTTGTATCACTAAATCATTATTATCTCAAAAAAAAAATCTTACAATCTAAAAATTTTCTGGCTTTACATGAGCTGCAAAGGGTTGATAAGCCATAAAAAAACAAATGAATCAATCAAATTGCTGAGCAAGTAAGATCTCAACAGAGATATGTCCATTTGCATTTCTGTTACCTTAAGTATTGTCATAAAGAAATCAATTCTGATTTCCAACCAGTTCCCGTACAATGACAGAAGTTAAGCAACATCGAGCTTGGTCAGTCTCTTGATGGCTGACTGCTTGGAAATAACAGATGCTGTACGCTTGGATGTGCTGGTGATGTAATGTATAATGGCTCAGAATTGTTAATCAGAGAGCAGAGTTCCAATCCCAGCTGGGTTTGTTATATTCAGTTATGCACAAAATGTATATATACATCTCATCTCTGCCCAGCTATAAGTTAAGTAGTAAGACTTGTATCACTAAACCATTATTATCTCCAAGAAAGATTTCTTACAGTATATAAATTTTTTTTTCTGGCTTTACATAACCTGCAAAGGGTTGATAAACCATAAAAAACAAATGCATCAATCAATGAGTCAGAATAAATTACTGAGCAAGATCTCAACAGAGATATGCCTGTTTGCATTTCCGTTATAAAGAAATCAATTCTGATTTCCATTTTGAAATGTTTCTTTTGGTTCAATAAAAAACTTTTCTTTTTTGTTTCTAGTGGTGAGGGTGAGTATGGTTCCATCCGGGATTCAATTGACTTCATTCTGCTGAACTTCTCGGAGATGAACAAGCTGTGGGTACGGATGCAACACCAGGGACATTCCCGTGACAAGGACAAACGTGAGCAAGAGAGACGCGAATTGCGTATCCTTGTTGGAACCAACCTGGTTAGACTCAGTCAGTTGGAAACAATCGATGTTGAAAAATATAAAAAGGTAAGCTTTTTTTGATTTGTTTTCTTTCTTTATTATTTCCCCAAGGACTCATGGCCCAGTAGATAAGTGTTGGTTGAAGTAATCTGGTGACTTGACCCAAAGAGTTGCGAGTTCAATACCTGGCCACAGGAGAGTCGAACAAAAAAAAAAACTTGGAGAATTGAGGTACTAAAGGGAAATAACTGAGATATCCAGAAAAGACACTGCACGTTGAACGAGAACAATTTATCCCAGTAGACTAATAAAGGGTTTGATTCAAAATTCCAATGTATTTCACCTGAAGAGGGTTGGAGCATACAACGGCCAAAATGTCATGAATATGACAATAAAGATGAGGACAAAAGTTTGAATAGCGTAAACAGTTATAATACCTCATCTCAAAAATATAGACAGATGTTTATTAAGTCAAGACTTTTCAATCCCCCCCCTCCTTTTCAGCTTCTCTAAATCACTAGCATTTTTTTTGGTCCACTATTAAATAAGACTTAATTTTTTGTGCTTGACCATAAGTATCTGAAGCTGTAGATGACATGGTCACTATATTTGTTACTTGCTTGATTTAGTTTGGCACACGGCCACTATTATGGAGTACTGACTCGGTATTGAACTCGCTGCTCAATAGTAATTATCTGAGGGAGTCAACATTATCCCAGACAGTGGGACCACTAGAGTATTTTTTTTTCTTTTACTCATTATGAAATGATTTTGATTAATTCATTTTCTATAGCTTAACCCCCCCCTTTGCAGGTTATTTAAAGCCAGAAAATATTTTTAGATTCTAAGAAAAAACACTTTGAAAAGTTTATTTTTATTAACCTGGAAGGGCTCAATTTAATTAGTGGGTAGGACAGCTTATTAGAAGAGTATTACACAAACTTCTAACTTGGCTTCCTGGGTTCAATCCTGGTAACATTCCTTATACAGCACAAAAGATCACCAATCAAAATTTTTGCTAATATCTTTATCTACCATATTTCCTGTATTCTAAGATGCAGTTTTTTCCCAGAAAGATGCCCTTAAAAATCAATCAGTGTCTTAACACTGAAAGGTCAAATTGTAGAAAGGAGTTTGCCAAACCTCACAAACCCCTGTTACAAGATATAAGCAATCACAAACCCCAAATATATAAGCCTACAATTATCATTCATATGTAATACCATATATCACATTAGTAACCTATCATATATATTGCTTCTTTTTTTTTTTTTTCTCTCGAATATTGATGATAACTGGTAAGTAGCTTCTTACCGGTACTGTAATTTTTCGTTCATCTAGACATTCTGTATGATCTCTTCCCAAGTTCTAGCCATGTAATACAGGCTGACAGTTGCGTTTCATATGCACACCAAGAATACCAGCCTTATTAGCATACTTTGCGTACTATTGAAAAAAACAGCTCAATAGATGTACCATTAATTCTAAATGTACTGTCAATTTCCAGCACCTACTACCATGTTTATGTTGCCTTACCGATGACTTCTGCTGGTGGACATAATCAACTATTGTCATTCAAGCAGACAATGTCATCAATCTTATAGGCAGTCATTCAGCAGAGGTCAACCTTCCACAAATTAAAAAAACATGGGACCCCCGAAGCAGAGATAGGCGTGGACCCCCGAAGCAGAGATAGGCGTAGACCCCCGAAGCAGAGATAGGCGTAGACCCCCGAAGCAGGCATACACTGTTCATTTCAAGTTACAAATGTCTGCTAAACAACACATCAACTGTGCAGCTTAGAGCCTGTGTAGATCACTATCCCAAAAAAAAAAAAAAAAAAAAGCTGGGAGTTGAATGTAAACATGCTGTGTGTTGAGACAGCCTTTAGCACGTATAAGTTGTTTCTGCTGTGAATAGGTATCACATTGTGTGAAACTATTGAAAATATAATTAATAGTAACCATAAACATTTAATAAGAAGTCCAAAATGTGATAACTTGCTGTAATAGAAAGAAAAATGCTACTGTAGAGTCGGTGACTTGGACTTGCTAATACAGTAAGCTCTTAAATCCTCGACTATCTTTATACAAAAAGTATCTATGTAATTATAGAGTGCATCTTACCTCTTGTAGTGTTTTAGCATACAGAAAATACGGTACTGTTTTATAATTCTTTGATGATTTTTTTTTTTTTTTTTTTTTTTTTTTTTTTTTCAATTTCAGGTTATGCCCGGAATCTTGGAACAGGTCGTCAGCTGCCGAGATGCTATTGCTCAAGAATACATCATGGAGTCTATTATTCAGGTATTACCACACACCTGTGAGACTGTTATTTTGTAAGATCTTTGTCATTGGCTGTTATGTTTCTATTCACATTTTCTTTATTTTCATTTGGTGTCAAAACACTGAAAAATATAAAAATAGATTTTATAGTAAAAATAATAATGCCTTTTTGAAAAAAAAAAAAAAAAATACCAGCAATACATTTGACTCTCGACAAAAACCCTCTTTACAAAAATACATCAATGAAACCTGATCTACAAACTGATTTTTTACGACAAATACATTTTCTATTCCCATCCTGGGTATGACGATAAACTACATCCGTGTCCTCAGTAAGACAATAAACTACTTCCAACAGCAAGGCCTCTGATCAGGAGGTTTTGAGGAGCGTAGAACCACCTCTTAATTGCTGGTGTTCCCAGGTTCAGCCTGGCCCAGGGTGGTAGCATCTGTTAGAGTCCCAGCTATGGGCAAATAGTTAAACCCAAACTGCGGTCAAAACACTATGAAAGTATGAAAAATAGATTTTAATAACAGAAATAATTTGTAAAAAACTATTACCAACAATACATTTTTGAAGGAAAATATTACCAGAAATAGATTTTTGAAGCAAAAAAATATTACCAGCAATCCATTTTTAAAAAAAAAAAAATATTACCAGCAATAAAAATTGTCGGCATTAAATAATCCATTGAGGTTGATATGCCATAAAACAAACCAAGCCATATTCTATTCATACGAACATATTCTAAAAATCTTGTTGGCATTAAATAATTCATTGATGTTGAAAACCAAACCAGTCTTTTGAACAGTAGAGGTTTATCCCTTGTTTTTAGTAGTTGGGTCACAGGAAGATCTGTGGTTGAGAAAAAACTTTTATTGTTAGCGAAGAGTCACTGTCTTTATGTTGATGATTTGTTTGAAGTTGCCAACATGTTTCTTTCAGGATGTGCTGTGGGGGAAGGAAAAAAAGCCACATGCTTAAACAGCATGGAGACAGTTGTATCTACTCCCTGAAAGTCGAAATCTGTGGGGTTTTATAAGAAATTTTTTCCCAAAAGTAGGCTTAAGAAAATAGGGTTTTAGTTTTCTCTGATTGGTCAAATATTTCACATGATGTTAATTTAATATTATCTGTTATTGGGTACAAAATAAACTTTGGGCATGTTTTAATGTGGTATGTATATGGGTGTGTAATTGTGTTGGAAATAGGGCTTATGTCACACACACATACACAGAGGGTGTGATGGGTAAATTGTTACCCTTTTATATTTTTGATTTTACGCATATGTGTTTTTTGTTTTTGTCAACTTCATAGTATGTGTGTCCAGGAAAGAAAACACTTATATGAACACAAGAAAAATTAAATAAAAAGTTTAACTATGGTATGCTTAGCTGTTTTTAATTTTTTCTTCCACAACCTCAGTCAATCCAAGCAAGAAAATTAAATTATCTATTACAAAAACTTTAAAATGGCTAACCTTAACCTCAAAAATAACAACACACTTGCAACATCAAAACTACAAAGAACCGACATTATTTACAAGTTCAAATGCCCTTAAGGAACTCATAAATAATTACATCGGTCACACTATTACATGCCTATCCAGATAATTAGTTATACCTACCTGACCATAGCTTCATTAGGACTCATTTAAACAGACACAAAAATCTACCAGGCTCCATCTGAAACATACTAGGAGAAAATACAAGTATATTAATCTCATCCACATGTGAAAAAAGATTAAAAATAATGGAAGCCCTAAAAATAAAAAAAGAAAAACACAATAACTATGAACACGGCAACAGTGTACTGAAATTGTTTAGAAAATAAAACATCCCTATAAC